TAAACGTTACATTTAAGAAGTAGGTTTTCACAATTCACGATAGATTTTGGGCTTAAGCTGAATTTAGGCCCTCCACCACCCAACACAGCCCAAACAAATGAAGTTGTCACGTGGCGTCCAGGCGTTTAACGACGCGTCAACGATTATTGCTGCGGCTCTCTCACCGGTCAGTCGAAGAAGAATCCTCGCGACCAGATTTGGGGGCGATGGTAATGTTCAACGTTGCGCCTGGAACTGCGCCAAGCCTCTGCGGTGAAAGGGCGGAAGACCAAAGTGATCATCAACTCCTGAGGTTTGGCCAGATCCCTACGCAGGCAAACTCAAAACGATCGATCATGCATCTAAAGTAATGCCGAGCAAGGGGGTTTGTTGCACATGAGGCAGGAGGAGCCACTTGGCTGAGCTATTGTTTGTGGCCAGGTCGCTTCTGAAAAAGAAGCTAATGGCTCAGTGGGTTTCACTTGCTAAAACAATATATGGTTTCAGCTTTATTTGTTTATTGATTTGCTTTCTTGTCCTATACTTTGTGCTCCTATCGTGTTCTCGCATTGTTTGTGGTTCTGGCGTTGTGACCCACCTCTACTGGACACCTGTGAAAAAGAGCTTCATAGCTCATCGGATTCCTCCTGGTGGTGGGGGGCAGTGGGGGTGGGGGGGAGAGGAGGGAGGTGGAGGGGGGGGGCAGAAGATGACAGCAAAGAGGGCGAGGGGATTGTGAAGAAGAAGCGAGACGGGCGTTGAGCAAGGTGTGCGTAACGAGAAAAGGGATTCGATGAGGAGGGAGTTAATAAAATGTAAACCATCTTGTGAGATACGTCGCCCACTAGGACAAGGAGCATAGCCAAGCCTGTCCATGATTAATGGATGAAGAGGTAAAAATAGCATAACCCATGGATACACTAAATGTCTTCTCAAATATATAAATATTATGAACATTCCCAATCGTATGACTGGTATCTCCCCGAGATTCCTGCTCAGGGAAAGTGCAGTCCCTGGGTCACAGTGTTTGTGTGTGTGGGGCGGGGGGGTGATAGTAGGTGTGTGGGAAGAGAGAGGGTGAGTGTGTGGGGGAGGAGATAAGTGAGTATGTGGGGGAAGAGAGAGGGTTTAAGATCATGAGGCTGGTGCCCACATAGCAACAGACCCAGCATAGTGATGGGGACCTGAGCTGGTGGCCGAAATTCCACATTACTATGACTGGCCAAAGTCCTGAGGATATGCATTTCACTCTCCACGTGTCTGGGTCGTGTGTGGTGGGGTAAAGTGTGGGTACCCCCACCTCCTTCAAGAGGTGTGGCCAACGTGGAATAGTAGTCCAAAACAACAAATATTAAAACATGATGCCTTCTAGTGGAGGGCCTTTATCCACCAGCGGTCACGTGAGCAAGGACTTGCGGGGGCTGCGCCTTCACCTTCCCACTTTCACCTCTCTCAAACGCGGCGCAGCCTTCCTCAATCGCCGTCAATGGGAGAGTCTCCAAGGGGGCCCTACCCAACTGCTGCTCGTTTGCGTTGTTTATTTTTGGTATTCCCAGGGCAGGCATTACTCAGGGACTTGACATTTCCGCTGGTGGCAATCTACTTCTCTGCTGCCCGAGTTGTGAGTCGCAAGGTTAAATGAGTCTCTCTGCTCAAACGAGCACAGGGCCCATTGATCTTGGCCATGAGCAATTTATTAGGAAATTCCACGTTACACTGCCCGAGGAGCGGGTTTCTCCACCTAACAAAAAATAAATAAAAGCAGCTCAACGTACATCCATTTGTCAATCCACAGCTGGATGAATGCCTCCAAACTCCACGTTAATCATTGCTGTTGTGAACCTGAGGTCAATGATCGGTTCAGAAATCACTCGTTGCTGATGGTAGGTCGTTGAATGTAACTTTTTGTCGATCGGGTTTATCGGTGCAATGCGCTAACCACTGTGCCACCGCTCCGCCCCTTGCAACTTCAGGATCGCAATTTACCGTTCACCCAGGAAAGGGCTTACGGAGTCCACCAAAGACTCGTTTTCAGGACAGTCTTGCTTTGCAGGATAGCTCTTTAAACTTTGTATTGGCATTGTTATTCAAACTTGTGAACTATTAAAACCAACATTGCTTTTTTTACATTTTCAGAATTAATCGATAAAAAAAATAAACCCGCTCCGCACGCTTACGTGTCAGCGAGACCATTATGCACGTTGCAAATTAGGCCCCTGGACGTAAAACAACTGACGTCAATTATTGTAAGACGCCGTTTTTCAAATAGAACCCCCGCTTTTGGGAGTTGACAGGTTTTTGCAGGAAATTGAGTGTGCAGTGCATATTTTTAAATCCACAACGGCTTCCAGATGTTACAAATTAAATTATTTTGTGATGTTTTCAGGATGTGTGTGTGTGTGTCGTGAAAACAATTAAGTCACCCGAAACGTCTCAAAAGTCACGTTCTTGTCCAAACAAATGTACGCCAGCGTTCCCAAAAGTGCTGCATCATCGTAATGACCAGAGACAAAATTGTCAGCGAACTTGTTGCAATTGTAATCCTATGCTGTGTTTGAATGCCGTATGTGCACCTCCGATTGGCACGGTTGGCTACGCACTGTGCGAAAGAAGTTCAACATATTATTTATTTGGCATGATTATAACATTTCCCAGCAGCCCCTGTACATCCTCCCTTCCCATGTAACGCACTGGCTCCTATTGTACCAGCCGGTCTATCCAACAGCTGTAAACCCTCCCTTCACATGTAACGTGCTGGCTATCGTCATATCAGCCGCTCTATGCAGCCCCTGTAAACGCTGAAGTATGGTCAATAAATCTTTATATCCGACAGCATGGAGAGGTCATCAACAAGCCACGTGTGTGTAGCAGGTATCTGTACAGATGGTGGCACTGTGGTTGGAGCACTTGGCTCACAATTGGATTGAGAAGGTTGTGAGTTCATGTCCCAGTTCAGGGACGACTCAGACAATCATCATACTGGGGAAGCTAAAATCAAGTACCGCTTTGTGCGATTTCAATAGCCGTTGTCTTTGAGAGAGGCTGACTCTTGCCATGAGAATGTGGAATTTCAACCACTCTGGAGACAAGGCCACCCGATGCTTACTTGAGATAAATATTTTGTTGAACTAAAGTACCGTTGGGTCGTTTGACCATAACTTCACCATGCTGGTCAGTTGTGTTTTGGTGTTGTGTGGTGAGTTGGCTGTGGTTCAGACATCACTGACACGAGCCACAGCCACGAACTCAACTCAGGTTAGATTATCATGAACTAATCACTGGTCAGCCACTCAACCCTGCAGCACTGTACACTGTACATTCATACCGTGCAAAGTAGAGTGTTAAAACAGTGCAGTGAGTTATTAATGTAAGGCACATTAATAGTGCTGCTTGTTGCTATGAAAACCAGTCCGCTGTGTTTGCAGTGCTAGTGGTTGGGTGGGTGTGGCAATGTAAACGTGGGAGGGGCTGTCAGCTCACCACGTGACCTGCTTTAGTCTCCCAGTCATTACGGAACATGGCATTGGTTTCGTTATGTGGCGTGCTGGGTTGTCTCTTCTCGGAGGTTAAACATGGTATTTGTGATGAAATTGTTAAATTAATGATGATGAAAAATAAGTTGGTTTTATGGTGATTAGTTAATGATGGTGATTTTATGATGATAAGGCACTTGTAAAAGCACCAATATAGCACTCTACTTTTATAATGATGATAATGATTTGATTGTGATCATCATAATATGTTAATTTAATGATATATTTCTGACATTGATGAAAATGGATTTATGATCATTTTAATGCTTGCATGACACTACAATAAGAATTATTAAACGACGATGGTTTATGGTCGTAATTAATTGTTGGTTTCGTGACAGTAATTCGGTGATGATGACGATGATGGTGGGAGTGTTTGTATAATGTTGTAATGATTTTCTAACAATCAATGACCGCATGATGCTGATCAGAGCTTTAAGATTTTCCTTTCTATTGCGACGGTGATAGGGGTTCCTAGGATCGTCGTCTTTTTGAGATAGCTGCTGTCCTGTGAATGTTGCAAGTCTTCTCGGGACATGTATTTTACTGTCTTTTCTTGGATTTTCTGTTTGCACTCAGTCACATAGTCACTTTAAGATGTTTTTTGTTCATGTTTTTGTTTTTTGCGGTTGCACCCGATTCAAGAGCCGAATGGCTCACAGGGCTATACCTACTAAATGAACTTGAACTTGAATGTAAGACGATGCGATTACCTGGCAGCAGAGTGGTGACACTTGCAGTGCGTCACGGAAGAAAAAAAGGGCCTTAGATTCACTTCCCGACTCGGGGCATCTTCCCGTGAGGAGTTAGTAACGTTCTCCTCCTGTTCTGCATGGGTTTCCTCCGGGTTAATTCCCCCTTTTTTTCTCCAATGGCTAAAAATAAAAGCCATACACACCTGCCATTGGCCAACATATTCTGATGCTGAAAAATTTTGCTTGCAAATTACTCAATTGGGAATACACACGGCAGCAATATATGCCCACTACTGTGACAACTTGCCAGCGAGGTGTGTTTTCTCGGTTAAACTAGCATAAGCTATCAAAATAAAAATAGCCGCTTGTAACACTCCCTTCATCGGGTATCGTGAGATATTCTTCTCCCCACGATACATCAGATTAATTTATCTTTGGTTCTTTCGGTAAAGTCACGAATAAAGAGAAAATAATAAATTAAATACTAGCATACAAAAATATGGAACGCTTCATGAATTTGCGTAATGGATGACACTCAAATTCGTAAACCGTTCCATAATTCTTGTATGCTAGTATTTAATTTATTATTTTCTCTTTATACGTGACTTTACCGAAAGAACCAAAGAGTAATTCCTGCAGTCACGAAAGCTCCAAATTAAGTATCAGCTTAATTTCTCAACCTCAGAGGTGGCGACCCTCCCGCGATGGTGACGCTGACGACGACATTGTGAGAACGACGGTGGTGTAACGATGATGGCGATGCTCACGGCAACTGTGTTCCCCCGTGTCGCAGGGAGAGATCCAGCAGTTGATGATCGTGCCGGACCACCGGGCAGCCCTGGACTACTGTGAACGCTACAGCCCGGACTGCGACACCCCCAGACAACGAGGGACGCAGTCACAGGACCCCGGCGAGCGAGGCGGAGAGGTGAGATCGACAGCCCCGTTTAAAAAAGTTCTCGACTTTTCCGTCATTTCCACCGCAGGTTTATCCCCCCCCCCCCCCCCCCCCCCGCTTCTCCTGATTGTGCGCGTGGCGTCACGTATGCAAGTATGTTGAACTTCTTTCGCACCGTATGTAGCCAACCGTGCTAATCGGAGATGCGTGGGAAGGATAACAAACTGAACACAAAAAGCAGTTCTAAAGAAATCAGTTTTCAATCTAGTTGATTTAAGCGTGCGTAGCTCCAGCGCGTTCCTAATATCGGAAGGAAGAGCATTCCAGACGACCGCAGAAGCGCATCTGAAAGCGTGCGATGTGGTAACCGTCTTCGTTCGATGGCGTAGCCAAGAGGATGACCACCGGAGGAGTTGGTGTGATGATGGTTTATGCTCTTTGACGAGATCAGCGAGGTGTTGTGATCAATTTGTCGGAAGCACTTTGTGTGTAATGAGTGCGACCTCTTAAATGTATTTGTTCGGCAACTTGAAGCCATATGCATGGCCACGAGATGGAAAATCTACGTGGACATGAGCAGTGCAGCAATTTGTGTTAGAGAATGGCCCACAGAAGTGGATACTACAGAACGATGTCTGAGCAGCGGCACATCGAAAGGGTGGGTGGGATGGGAGTGATCAAACACCCCCACCTGGAAACCTAGAAAATCGGTGTTTGATTGATATTTACCAGAGAAAATGCATTGATTTATGTTAATACGAATTTTTTTATATATGGCCCAATTTAAAACGCTTGGAAAGTTTCTATATCCACCTCTACCTCTGAGATCTCTGGTCCATGGGAGAAAAATAAATATTTAATTTCTCAGAGCTGGACGTTAGGCAAACTAAGTACAGAAACGATAATCTGATGAGTGTTTTCTTTCATTGGTGCCGGTGCTGACACCATCAGCTCGCGACACTTGGGGCCCTGGTTTAATCACAGGCAGCTGCCTGCAATTGAACCCAGGACCTCAGCAGTGCCGGATCAGCGCCCTGACCTCTGACCTCTGAGCCACCCGGCCACCTCAATATGCTCCCGTCGATAAGTAAAGCTGCCCCAATTATTAGGTCCGGGCATAACACAAACGGCACCCTCCGCACACACAGACGTTAGCTTCTCTTCTCGGTAATAATCTGGTTACCACCCGGTCATATGTTTTCGTTTGTTGTCCGTCATGTGACTCGTGTACTTGAAAATGACGCCACGTAATGCATCCGGAATATTTGGCAAGCACGACAAAGTTTCCTCTCGTCGTAAAATTTAATCGCCCCCCCCCTCCCCAAACCCCACAGCTTAGTGCTGTGGGCGGGCGCTCTAATTGCCCACCCCTCACGCCAGGTCTGCCCGTAAGATGTTTTCCCTCAGTGGAAGAGCAGCAGAGTCTATCACAATCTTGAAATTAGACTCGAGGAGGAGGAATCCGATGAGCCATGAAGCTCTTTTTCACAGACGTCCAGCATGGGCACGGGGTCAGTCAGCAAAGTTACAACAACAAACAATACAACAACAACAACGATAGGAGTGTGAAATAGAAAAAAAAAGAAAAGCAAGTCACTACATATAAATAAAAACAATGATACGTCTCATTTATCAAGCTTGGCCAATGCATCAACAACAAAGCCAAACGGATCCAAGACCTCTCCCTGAGTGTGTCCTGCTACGTTTGGGCACGGGCGTTGTAGTTTTGCAAGGGTTTGATTCCCCTAGATGATGGTGCCTGCGGGCAAACGGTGTGACGAAGCCTCGTCTGCCGAGCTGGCTGATCCCCCGGGGGCCATTTTGTCACTTTAAAAAATGTGTTGTTGATAATTCTGAGGTAACTCGTTAACTTGTTTTTATTAAGTTGTCCCCCCCTCACCCTCCTCCTTCCACCCCTCCACTCTTCTACCCCACGCCCGGCCGCCCCAGACTTAATGGAATGGTTTCCCCCTTTAGCCTGGATGACTTGACAGGGGGGTGTCCTCGCAAAACGTTCTTGCTCGCGTGTTTAATGTACGCATCGTATCAACGCTACGCTGTTCCTCACGCCGTGTCGGCAAAATGTAACGTATTCATCTTCCCGGCTGCGGTGAGCTCAACTGAATGGGACGACACATTCACCGTAACGGCCGGTTTGTGTTTTTCTGCGTCATTGATAAACGAGTCAAATCGTTGCAGCTTCACCGCCCGGATTCATCACAGTCGGGCTGCTACCTCGATTCAAACTTAGAAATCCCGGCAGCGCTTCGCTCAGCGCTCCGACAAGGGATGTTATAAGGCTCTCGTGAGATGCCCAAGATCTAGGGCTTGAACCCTGCCTGACCAGGGCTTGAACCCTGCCTGTCCAGGGCTTGAACCCTGCCTGTCCAGGGCATGAACCCTGCCTGTCCAGGGCTTGAATCGTGCCTGTCCAGGGCTTGAACCCTGCCTGTCCAGGGCTTGAACCCTTCCTGTCCATGGCTTGAACCCTGCCTGTACAGGGCTTGAACCCTGCCTGTCCAGGGCGTGAACTCTGCTTGTCCAGGGCATGAACCCTGCCTGCTCAGGGCTTGAACCCTTCCTGTCCATGGCTTGAACCCTGCCTGTCCAGGGCTTGAACCCTGCCTGTCCAGGGCTTGAACCCTGCCTGTCCAGGGCTTGAACCCTGCCTGTACAAGGCTTGAACCCTGCCTGTCCAGGGCTTGAACCCTGCCTGTCCAGGGCTTGAACCCTGCCTGTCCAGGTCTTGAACCCTGCCTGTCTAGGGCTTTAACCCTGCCTGTACAAGGCATGAACTCTGCCTGTACAAGGCTTGAACCCTGCCTGCCCAGGGCTTGAACCCTGCCTGCCCAGGGCTTGAACCCTGCCTGTCCAGGGCTTGAACCCTGCCTGTACAAGGTTGAACCCTGCCTGTCCAGGGCTTGAACCCTGCCTGCCCAGGGCTTGAACCCTGCCTGCCCAGGGCTTGAACCCTGCCTGTCCAGGGCTTGAACCCTGCCTGCCCAGGGCTTGAACCCTGCCTGTTCAGGGCTTGAACCCTGCCTGCCCAGGGCTTGAACCCTGCCTGTCCAGGGCATGAATCCTGCCGTGTCCAGGGCTTGAACCCTGCCTGTCCAGGGCTTGAACCCTGCCTGTCCAGGGCTTGAACCCTGCCTGTACAAGGCTTGAACCCTGCCTGTCCAGGGCATGAAACCTGCCGTGTCCAGGGCTTGAACCCTGCCTGTCCAGGGCTTGAACCCTGCCTGTCCAGGGCTTGAACCCTGCCTAGAAGGCTTGAACCCTGCCTGTCCAGGGCTTGAACCCTGCCTGTCCAGGGCTTGAACCCTGCCTGTCCAGGGCTTGAACCCTGCCTGTCCAGGGCTTGAACCCTGCCTGTACAAGGCTTGAACCCTGCCTGTCCAGGGCTTGAACCCTGCCTGTCCAGGGCTTGAACCCTGCCTGTCCAGGGCATGAACCCTGCCTGTACAAGGCTTGAACCCTGCCTGCCCAGGGCTTGAACCCTGCCTATCCAGGGCTTGAACCCTGCCTGTAGAAGGCTTGAACCCTGCCTGTCCAGGGCTTGAACCCTGCCACCCCCTGATATTGTGTCCGTCGCCGTGTGTGTGCGTTACGGTACGCGTGCGCGCGCCTTTGCCTTCACAGTATTACGAAGGGGAGCTGGAGTACGACTATGAATACACAGACGAGAATAAGGAAAAGCCCACAGATGGATTCAAACCCGTGGTACGTTCACAAAAGTCTGCATCATTGCGGTGAAGTGAATTACGATGTAAAACTCCACGTGCTTTCTTTAAATGTGTCATATATCCACCGGGGCGGATTTATTCACGTCTGTCGGGACTCACGGAGACGTCCAAACTTTAGTGCCACCGAGAGCGCCGTCGTCACTTACTTCGCTAGTTTCACGATCATCCCGTCGGCCGCTGAGACTGCAATCGGACCAACTCTCGTGATCAGAAGGTCGCAAGCACATAGTCCAGTCGGGGATCGACGGGGTGGATAAAACGAGTAGCACTCTGTTGGTAAGGCAATCGTGGCAATCCTGGCCTCACCCATGACAACGTGGAAATTCCAGCAACATACATGTTGAACTTCTTTCGCACCGTACATCGCCAACCCTTACTGACTTGAGCGCGAGGCCACGGGGGGCGGTTTGCTTTGAGGAGTCGGTCGTTCCCAACTGTCGCCGTGTCCTCCTCGCAGGAGGGCAGCCCCGAGGATGAGAGCCCCACCGAGTACAAGACCGATGACGTGACGTTCGACCCCATCGTCACGGCAACCAGCGACCCCTGGTCCCCCGTGGTAACGCCGACTTGCTCGCTCACCCACTCGGCTATTCGCTCGCCCATTCTCTCACTCACTTCCTTGCCACTCACCCAATCACTCAGTCACACACTGGTCACCCATTCTGTATTTTTTCCCGTTTTAAGGCAGCGTCGTTGATGAATGTGTTGAGTTGTTGTTGATTGTCATTGATGCACCACTGCCAACGCAGCGGCAGCAGCATCACAAAGATAGCTTACAACTTTGATACCGCTGCTGTTTGTTGTTGGCCTGTACTTAGCAACTTTGTGTTAACGATATATTTATAAAATCCACAATCACTTCAAATCACCATGCACTGGAGTCACCGCTGTGTTTGGCGTGTCACTCCTGGGCTTATCAACAGACCTCAGTTCCGCAATTGCTAAGCCCACTACGTAATGTATATATGTTGAACTTCTTTCGCACCGTACGTAGCCAACCGTGCTCGTCGGAGGTGCGGCAAAAGGGCAACAAACTAAACACAAAAAGGAGTTCCTATAAAATGGGTTGTCAATCTAGATTTGAAATTGCATAGCTGCCAGTGGCTTCCTGTTAGCGCGTGCACATCGCACGATGTGCCATCAAACCCGAGAGCCCTGACCACCGTCTTTAGCCAGATGTTCGATCTCCGTTTTTCTGCTTGAACTACAACAACCACTGCAGCCGTCCTTAATAAGTCCACCGCCAGCGTGGCTCACGCGAGACTGGAAAAACCCGCGCCGGAGTTTGTAGCTTCCTCAACCTGGAGCCCACGGGATGCCACGGTGACTAGGAGATGTCAACGACCTCGCCTGCTGTCCAGGAGGTCGTGGGTTCGATCCCGACCCTAACGCCTGCTGCTGTATATTTGGAGTTTGCATGTTCTCTCTCTCCGTGGTTTCGTGGATTCTACTCCAGGTTCTCCGTTATTTTTCTCCTCCACATTTAGAGCTATGAGGTCGCTTCTGAAAAAGAGCCATATAGCTCAGTGGTGCCTTACCTGGTCAAATAAAAATTAGTTTCAGTGCAAAGTTTACGTGGGTTTTACCGAAGGCAGGGAAGCGACGCGGCTCACCGATGCCTCCCGCTGTCGTGAGCAGAAGTCCGATGACAAGAGCGACGACGAATACGCCACCGGTGAGGACACCTACGACTACGGAGGCAAGGGGTCGCCATCGACGCCGTTGTCTTCAAATAAAACAGGGGTATGATGCGAACACATCGCTATCGTTTATCCCACCCCTCCTCCTCGCCGTCGTCGTCATCGTCGCTGTTCACTTCCTATCCGAAAGAACTCATAATGGGACGTGGCCTCAACGTGCCACCTAGGCCGGCCAGGCAAGCGGTCTGGTAACTTTACCGCCACCTCGCCACGAATAGTAAATTGCCGTCTAACAATTGATCGCTGGTTGTGAGTCGCCAATTTCCCGATAATCCCAGCAAGCCACGGTTAATGGCAGGAGTGGGAGAAACTAGCTCGGCTCCATGGAACGAGAATGCACGAGCACAATTTTACAAGCTCGAATCGGATTGCTCCTCTGCGGTTGTGGCGGCGGCGGCGACGACCGGCGTCGTGTGCAGCGAGCGACGGCCCTGTCCTCGTGGTCAGTGCCCTGATTATAGCTGAGATTGGGTGGATTCCTTCACACGCAGCTCACGGAAAAACCACGCGAATTCACTGATGTATTCACGAGATGGTACGTGCACACCGCATCCCGTTCGCAAACAGGATTGAGTCTTTTTGGATAGAGGGAAGACAGTTTCACCCATTGTACTCATTCACCACGCGATGTTTTTTTTTAATTACCCTCGTTTTTGTCACCAAACGGCTCAATGTGAATGTAATCATTGTCACCATCGTGACTCCAGCCACGTTAGAATGCAGAATCAATGGCACAGACAATTACCGGCGGCGCGATTGAGCGGGCGAGTGTTATGTTCGCGTGATGTTTTAGAATGGCGAGAAAACTTATGGCACAATCGGAGGCTTAATTTCACCTGGGTCTATCTGGGTTGATGACCTGAAATATATTTATGTACCCAGCACACCACATCCAGTATACCGCGTGCTATGGCTCTTACTTGTCATGAGTCCACTCCAGTGTTACACCAGAGAACGGAAAAAAGGTGAACAATACAAAGGCAATCCAAGTAATGAAGTATTAATAGCTCTGGTTGAGCATTTAAAAAAAAACATTTATACTGGCCCATCGATAAAAAATACTTGTTGAATTCTTCTTCTTTCATATGTCAGCTGATGTAGATGCAAAAGCATCAACTACAACTTCACTATCAGCAGCAGCGGAGTGTGTCGCTGCCTAGTTTAGTCAACGGGCCAGTTTAGTTTATAGACCACCACTGAGTGAATTGTCACAAACAACATTCTGTAGACAAATTGCCCCCCCCCAAGCCACCGGTATAGGAATGTGGAATTTCCACTGTGTGCCTACGCTTGAGCGGTGGTGCGGGCCTATTGGGGGGCTGGGGGGGGTGTGTGTGTGGAGCGAGCGGTACGCTGACTGAGGGGTCCTCTCCCACGCTGTGCCGCCCGTACGGGGCAGGGGGACGACTTCGCGGTGGAGTACGGCACCAACGAGGAGGAGCACGACTTCGACCGCTTGGACGACTACAAGGATTACGACTACGGATACAACCCCACGGCCGGCAGGGCCAAGGGCGAGGCCGGCGCAGAGCTGCCCAGCATCATTGAGACGGGGGAGGTGAGCGGCCAACGCTTCCCAGCCACTCGCTCTGCTCACCCTCCTCTCCCTCCTCCGCTCCTACCCGACTGCTCCATGTCTCCTCCTCTTCCCACTCATCCTCCTACTCCTGCACTCCTGGATTGTCTTACCTCCTCCTGAGCCTCCATCGCTCCTGATCTTCCTGTGGCCCCCTCTTTCCTGCACCCACCTCGTTGCTACATCCCGGACGCTTTCACGCGAGTTTTGAGCTCCGTCAGGCAGAACAACTCATCGATATTCACGCTCAGAAACACCGCCACGGTGCTATGTAGCCGTAACTGCTGTACGGTGTGTCTTAATGCATCTACGGTACGTTACGAAATGCATTCTGGGAGTGATCACTACACCTTATTATCGTTTGTTGAGCACATTGTTAATACCGCATTTGTTTTTTAGACGTCGTATTTTGGTTCTGTAGTTACTTCACTCCTTAGTAGTCACCTCACATGCCACCTTTGTGTACCTGGAGATGCACTGCAAGGGAGGCTCAGTGCCTTGTCAATGTGCCATTGTATGGAGGGACTACTGCTGCATGGCGCTGTCTTGGTGTGGTCTGGGACTCTTTTGCTGCTTTTGCTGCCTTGGCCAAGCTTGATAAATCAGACTTACAAAACATTTTTTATTTTATTTACTTTGACATTATATTTAGTGATTCGCTTACCTTTTGTTCTGTTTTGCACTTTTATCGGTAAACTATCGTGTTGTTGTTGTTGTATTGTTTGTTGCTATAGCTTCGCTGACCCTTCCCTACTGGACATCTGTGAAGTAGAGACTCATAAACGACTTATCATATTCCTCCTCCTGCAAAGATCCCGATTTCAAGAATAAACCATGAGGTTATGACGTTTGTGATTTTTTTTCTCATCGTAATTTTAGTCGGTGCTGATAGTCGTTCCTCTGTTGTCTGTCTCCAGGCCTTCGGTGGACACAAAGGAGAGAAAGGCCAGAAGGGAGAACCGGCGATTGTGGAGCCTGTAAGAGAGTTGTTTCGTTGTTTTTTTCCACTTCCACGTGCTAAGTGTTATAATTGTTTTTTTGCCCTTCTATCTGGCAACAAAACGGACACCTTTTTTACAAGGAGTCATGTTTGCATAGACCACAATACCTGCAGTCATAATGCAAACAAAAAACACAACTCTGATAATGTGCACTGTCCTTGAAGTTGATTGGTCCACACCCGAGACAGCTTTCCCCAGAGCCTGGTCTCACATGGGTTGGACCAGATGACGCCAAAAGGCGCACAACTCAAAGACAATGCACCATCAGAGTATGAGAGCTCGGGGTAAGCATTTACACCATTGGAACCTCATTTGCCAGTAAAAATATGATAATAGTTTTTTTACCCTTCTATCTGGCAACAAAACTGACACCTTTTTTACAAGGAGTCATGTTTGCATAGACCACAATACCTGCAGTCATAATGCCAACAAAAAACACAACTCTGATAATGTGCACTGTCCTTGAAGTTGATTGGTCCACACCCGAGACAGCTTTTCCCAGAGCCTAGTCTCACATGGGTTTTACTTTACTTTCGCCGATAATACATCACCAGTGTGGGCCGCCACATTATTTGAAACCATTGGGAGTTTGACAGCAGCACGATGTTGATGATGTTGGGTGGTGGTCTCATTTGTTGTATATCGTCAGGGGCCGCACTAAAAGCCACCAGGAGATTTCTGGGGCCCGCGGGCCTTGCAATGAAGAACGCTGTCCTAGACGCACCACTTTAAGACGTCAATATTAACAGCGGCCAATGCTGCACCGAAATGAAAGCACGTGGTCAACGATTTTTGTTTCAAGATGAAGACTCGCTTGATGGACTGGCTGTTGTATTTTATTTCCTCTCTCAAACAGGGAATGCTTTTTGAGGGACCTCCAGGCCTTGAGGGACCTATGGTGAGTTCTACATTATTATTTATTATTAAGCATATTTATATCCACACATGGACACCCACATAGCAGATTAAACACAAATTAAGGAAGCGCAAAGAAGTGTGGAGAGGTTACATGCTTGCGATTACGCGGAGAGACGGAAAGAAGGAACGCATGGATCCGGGTCCGAATGTAAATCGTAGACATCATCTGAGACGCCATCTGGGACTGTTCAGGATAGCCAATGGGCTTGGGTGGGGCGCTTCGCTCGAACGGACGATGGTTCACGGGTGAGCGCTGCGACAAAACGGCAGCCTAAGGAGGGAAACGCGCGTGAGATGACGACAACCACGGTGCAGATGGAGCGATGTGAGGTAGCTCGTGTGCAGGAGGGAGATCAATGGGGCGATGTGAGGTATCTCGTGTGCAGGAGGGAGATCAATGGGGTGATGTGAGGTAGCTCGTGTGCAGGAGGGAGATCAATGGCTGTGGCATCGCAGGGCCACGGTGAATGACATGGCCAGGCCTTTATCCCAGCAGTAGATAGACCACGGTTGGTGTAGATGACATCTCATGGCTTTGGTTGGGTGTCAGTGTGTCCGGAGCACTTGGCTCACAGAAGCACCCGAGGTCAAATCTTGAATGGAGGTCTACTCAGCTAATCATTATCATCATCATGTAGAAAGTAAAAGTAATTTGTGCTGTGGATAAACTGTCACCTGTTATAGGAATGTGGAATTTCGTCTGCTGACTCAGAGCCATCAAATGGAGTGTTTTCCACGTATTCATTTCATTAATGCAGTTGCTGAGCACACATGGCCCAAATGGAAAAAATATATACAAAGCGGACAACAACGAACAGCACCGTCATCAAGTTGTAACACGTTTCTTGAATTGAGCAAGGTTGTTGTTGTTGTTTGTCGTCGTTTTATAAAAGCTTAGGGGTGTATAAGGTAAACGATGGCAGGGAATACCAAAGTGAAACGGTAGGCAGGGTGCCCTGACGTGCGGCGCCGTGGTGGTTGAACGCGGAAGAGACTGAAGTCAGTCGAGGCGGCCGAGTCCACGAGACGGGCGGAGGTGTCGAGCGTGGACGAGGGTAGCCCCCCCCCCCCCCGGGGTAGCTGGAGCCACGGTCCTGGTCTGCTGCCTACCACCCACCCACCCGCCCGACCCCTACAACCTACAAACACCTTACCGGGGCGCTCATTAATAAAGCGGCACAGCACGAGGAAGCTTCGGGTACCCGCCATCTATCTAAACTTCAACGCCACCGCACTTTTGTCCGTCCGGTGGCGCGGCAGTCATTGCGATTGACATTTAGTCACCATTTATTTCATCGAGGTCAAAGGACGATGAGTCAGAACGTGTTAATGATGGACTTAAACAAGGCGTATTTTATTGTTGTAAAAACACCCCCAATCAACATTCAGGGGGAGGTTGTTCATCATCATCTGCTGCCCCTTTCACCTGGAACTCTTTTCCCGCAGACATCCATGCTGTTGATCCCTGCTGCAGTCCAAACTCAACACCTTACATATCTCCTCTGCGTGTGACTGACTGCCTCTCTCTACCTATAAAATCAATTTGCCCAGTGTTCTGTGCAGCATCTTTGAGATGCGGTCGCACTCTGGAAGCTATACAAAATCCAAATTGTAAACTGTCCATGTATTCGTATGCTGCCTAATCTCTGCACGGTGACAGGGCTGTAATTGGCAGGCAAGGAGATTCGTAGACAAGTTTGCTTCGTTATATAACGTCGACCACGTGGCTACGTAGGAGAGCGAGTGGTTTTGGTGGGGGGTTTGCTCAGCCCCATCATTCCTCCGGAGTCAGTAAAATAGTAACGCTTCGTTGTTTTAAGTTAAAAGTGGTGGTCCTATGGATATACCGGCTCCTGTCATAGGAATGTGGAATTGCACCACTGGCTTCGGGCTGTAAATGGGAGATGATCACCGCCTCATTGCTCGTTTGATCAGGACATAACGTTGCTTTTTTATCTTGTGCATATAAATACACACAGAGTTATGCGATGCGGGTCGTAACACCAACGCACTCGTGCCAAGCTCAATCTCCAAGCATCCCGAACTCTCGTCACACGCCCCTTTATCAATGATTTTCAGGCCTTCTTCGAAATATTCTCAACTGCCCCCTAAACTCTTAGCCAATCGCCGACCCTAGATTGAAAACTAATTTCTTCAGAAGTGCTTTTGTGTTTGCTTTGTTGTCCTTCGCCCACACCCCCGATTGGCACGGATGGCTACGTACGGTGCGAAAGAAGTTCAACGTACACACATACAACCCTGCTCTCCAATGGCCTTCAAACTCTAAGCCAATCAGGACGAACCACCCTACACCAACCAATCCCGTGCGCGCTCGGCGCTCAACCAATCAGCGTGGCCTTATACGTCCCTCGTCACGGCCGTACGGGCGGCTGGCCAATGGCAACGCGCCCCGCCGATTTCAAACGGCGAAGCCGTTGGGAATCGCTCTTAACGGAGAATTAAATGGTAGATGAGGTAGGCTTTTTGGCGACCTTTTCACTTGTAGTCTTGGTCATCGCCCAAGTTTCTTATGAACATAGCAGGACTGGGAGAGGAGCGGTGATGCTGCGGTGGTTAGCGTAATGCGCTGTGACCCCATCGACCGAAGTTTGCTTCGCAGCCACGGCTGACATCAGTGGCGAGCGAGAGCTGAACCAGAACGGTGTCCCTCCGCCCTTCACTAACCCACACTGACCAACATTGGTGAAGTATAATAAAAACAACTCCCATGACTGTACATGGTGTGGAGAAACCTTCATCCAGCAGTGGATTGACAAAGCTCCATAAATATTGTAAATGTCCTATTAAGATTGAAACAAAGCAGATGGTACAAAACTGATCTTACCTTGGATTTTTTTTAGCTTGACCTTCATTGATCTGCAGAGCACTTTACCACACCGCATATTCATTCTGTAGCTGCTACGGCGCATGGCAAGCGCCTCCAATTTCATTGTTAAATTCCTTCTCCATGCTGTTGGACACCGAGCGTGTCTTGTTTCATAGCACGCCTTCATGTGGAGCAACCCAGGGCACTTTACAATAAATAAATAGACTCGGAGAGAGCCATTGGCCAATCAGTGCAGCGCAAAGACAGGCCACTTACCTAGAGCCCCATGCTCTGAGCAGCCCAACGCGAGTTTGAAGCTCGGTTAATGACGAAGAAAAAGGCTTGAAGGTGACTTCGAGGCGTTGTTGTTGTTGTTTTTGCACTCCAGTGACATCGCTGCGGTGTCAAGCCCATTCGTTTTTGAATACGAGGAGAGCAGTGACATCGCGAGAGCAATTGTGAAGTAAAATATCAACTTCACTGAGGTTCTAGACTGCATTCACTCAGGACTCCTCTGCAAGAGAAGATGAAGGTTGCGTTCTGCCGCTGCGTTGGCACTCCCGGTTGTGACGCTGCCCGGCTTTCCGATGCATTTTAGGGTCACACCGCGTGCGGTCTGGTGCATGACGTCCCAACGTTTCGCCCCACGTGCCGGGAGCTCTCTCGAATGTCGGTTGCACAGACGAAGCTCCGAGCTACCTGGAGCGAAACGTCTGACGTCATGGCGAAACGCCACGTGGCACAACCCGAAACCATATCGGGGAGCTGTCATCTGCAGTTGGCATTGCCACTGCAAACCATTGGATTGTCGGAGCGCGTTGTACTGAGGCCCGCATGGCTTTGTGGTTTTAATCACCGGCATGTCTCGCGCTCCGTGTCGTTGGGCAGGGCTTCCCAGGTCCTCCCGGTCCACACGGCCCTGCAGGACCCTCCGGAGACCCAGGAGAGAGAGTGAGTTTCATCGTCGCAGGCTTGCACGCGCTCTCTTGTCACTGCTTGTGGGCGGCAGGGCGACAGCGCGGTCGTAGTCACACGTGCCTCGCAGCAAGACCGGCCTGCGGTCTATTCCTGTCTCGGGCGAATTTCTGCATGCAGTTTGTATGTTCTCCCTATTGTTACGAGCGGGTTTGCTCCAGAATCTCCGGTTTCCTCCTATAGCTAAATTGAAAAAAAACTGTATGATGTAAACTAAAACTAAACATTTGTTTTATTTTACCAGGTAAGGCCCACTAAGCTACGTAGCTCTTTTTTAGAGGCGACCTGGCCATAAATGATAGCTCAACGAAGTGGCTTATCATCATATGGAAATTGACAGCAGCCAAATATACTAAAAGCATGTTTCTAAATGTGGGAGGGGGAAACCGGAGTAACCGCAGAAAAAGCTCTGCGACTACAGGGAGAACACGCAAACTGCAAATATACAGGGATCAGAGTCGGGATCGAACCCACAACCTCCTGTATACCAGGCGAGGTAGTTAACATCTCGCCACCATGGCACTCCTGGCAATGGGCAAAATATCCAAAGCTGAAAAATTACTCAAATGGGATCGCAAACAGGATCAGCAGCAAAATCGCCCCTGACTGTGAAAACTTGGCAGGACCCTCCTGAAAACGAGTCTTGAGACTCGTTGGGTAAACAAGCAGAATAACAAAAATAATAAAATCCCTGACATGCTTCCATCTGGCACCGAGCCTCAGCGGTCAGAGGAGTCGAGTCACCATTGGAAGGGTTGTAATTTTTTATCCCAAATAAGGGATCGGTTTGGCCCATCATCCCTCAGTCGGCCAGTTAAATATACCACTGCTGTGCCCAATGCAAATGTCGGTCCACGTCAAAGGAATGTGGAATTGCCGCCACTGGTTTAACGGCGCTAATGGAGATGTCACTTTAACGCTCTCAGTCAAGTGCTGCTCACAACTCCCCCAAAGTTTCATAAAAAAAGTTCACTGGGTTGGATATTACTTCATTGAGTCGCATCACTAGGGTGCAGTTGGTTAGTAGGCATTGCCCAATGTGTGCTGATGTTGATGTGGTGCTGCTGATGGTGGTGATTTTGATGTGGTACTGCCGATAGTGGTGATTTTGATTTGGTGCTGCTGATGGTGGTGGTTTTGATTTGGTGCTGCTGATGGTGGTGATGTTGCTGCTCGCTATAAAGCTACCTTTGCTGCTATGGTTGCATCAAATGCTGATGTTGTTACTGATGATGATGGTGGTGATGGATGATGATGTTGGTATAACTGTGACTGATGATGATGTTGCTGCTACAGATAATGATGATTTTGCTTCATCTGATATTGGTAATGTTGAGGATGAAGTTGCTTCTACTGATGATGATTGTGATGATTTTTGTTGCTGATGATGACAATGATGCTGTTACGCTGCTGCTAATGATGACGATGGTGCAGTTGATGCTGCAGCCGTTATTGACGATAACGATGTTTTTGCTGCTGACGATGTTGCTGCCACTGACGATGTTGCTGCCAGTGATGATGACGATGATTATGTCGACCTTGTGCAGGGTCTTCCCGGTCGCGCTGGGTTACCAGGTGCCGACGGACTCCCTGGGCCCCCTGGGACTGTCCTCATGTTGCCGGTGAGTCCTCTGCTCACTCGCCTCCGTCTGTGCGTCTGTGTGCCCACGTCTTTGTCTTCCGTGTGTATTTATTTGTGGGGAGCAGGAGTGCCGTGGCTATCTCGTTGCGCTACGAATCCCGGCGACCCGAGTTAGATTGCCGCTCACGGCCAACGCCAGCGACGGTTATCTGAACCGGTTCTGGGCCTCCACAAGGTCGACTCAGTCTCAAACGAGTACCTGGTGCGGTGTGTAAACATCGCCACTCGGGAGACAAAGGCGGCCGGGCGTGGTGCTGGTCACCCAACCCCTCGTGAGCTGTGCCGGCCTTGATAGCTTGTGCTCGCTGCTAACAGCGCTTGCCCAAACAGTCTGTTAAAGGCTGTATGGGGGATCTCTGTCTGTGTGTTTTAATGTATTTGGGTGTAATAAAATAGGCCAGTGTGTGTATTAACGCATGTGTCTGTACGTGTATTTTTATTCCCCCTAGTTCCGGTTTGGAGGTGGAGGTGGTGAGGGTGGAAAGGGCCCAGCAGTTTCAAATCAGGAGGCCCAGGCTCAGGCCATCCTACAGCAAGCACGGGTAAGGGCCACTCCACCTTCGCTCACGCACAGTGACCAGTGTGTCGATCCAGATGTCGGCCAGGACAACCTCCGACTGTCGTGGCGGTGACGCGGCCTGCCGGTAGCGCCGGGTCCTGTCGTTTGCTGCGGAGGTTCACGGTTTTCGAATCCGGTGGCGGCCGCCGCCCTGGTTAATGCTGTGGGCGTAGTAGCCATGTTGACGCGCAGCGGCCGTTTCGCGGTGGACATTAAAAGATCCCCCCGATGTAATTCGCGAGAGCAGACCCATCGTGCGTCGCAGGTGTCATGGTCCCCAGTTAGCAAGCAAAAGAAATTACACCACGAATCGTGGTTATACACACGGAAATCATTGGCCCCTACTGGCAAAACTAATGAAAATATGACTGTCCTAGTGTCTTTGAGTTGTAAACTTGAACTTGAGCGGCCTCCTCGTGTCAAAAAAAGGCCGAGGTCAAGGCTGCCATTCGTGGCAGCTCGCAGTGGTGGAATCATCCCATCAGCTGCTTGCTCGACAGCAGAAAGCCTGGGACTCAAATCAGACTCTGCCGTATACGACCCATCAGCCATACGTGGCAGCAGCTATCCAGACTGCCTTGGGCCGAGCTTCACAGGCAGCAGTCTGGATAGCTTGGCCAGGCTATGGGCACTTTGGCGACATGATGGTTTGCATGCCGCCCCTACGGAGCTGCCCAGCAGACAGCCGTCCCAGCACGTTGATAAGGACGGTGCCTTGCTAGCGGACACAAGGTGGAGCGGGACGGCTGCTTGAACTGGATGAAGTGGTGATCAAGCGCTTGAGTTGCTTCAATATCGACATTGCATAGTAACACAATAAGGAGAAGAAGGAGACTCGTTCACAACACATTCACTTTCCCACGTCCGCTCGGGAGATTGCAACGCAGACGTTTGCCTCTTCAGCATTTCAGGAGCTAAGCATTTCAGGAGCTAAGCATTTCAGGAGCTAAGCATTTCAGGAGCTAAGCATTTCAGGAGCTAAGCATTTCAGGAGCTAAGCATTTCAGGAGCTAAGCATTTCAGGAGCTAAGCATTTCAGGAGCTAAGCATTTCAGGAGCTAAGCATTTCAGGAGCTAAGCATTTCAGGAGCTAAGCATTTCAGGAGCTAAGCATTTCAGGAGCTAAGCATTTCAGGAGCTAAGCATTTCAGGAGCTAAGCATTTCAGGAGCTAAGCATTTCAGGAGAGGAGCTAAGCATTTCAGGAGCTAAGCATTTCAGGAGCTAAGCATTTCAGGAGCTAAGCATTTCAGGAGCTAAGCATTTCAGGAGCTAAGCATTTCAGGAGCTAAGCATTTCAGGAGCTAAGCATTTCAGGAGCTAAGCATTTCAGGAGCTAAGCATTTCAGGAGCTAAGCATTTCAGGAGCTAAGCATTTCAGGAGCTAAGCATTTCAGGAGCTAAGCATTTCAGGAGCTAAGCATTTCAGGAGCTAAGCATTTCAGGAGCTAAGCATTTCAGGAGCTAAGCATTTCAGGAGCTAAGCATTTCAGGAGCTAAGCATTTCAGGAGCTAAGCATTTCAGGAGCTAAGCATTTCAGGAGCTAAGCATTTCAGGAGCTAAGCATTTCAGGAGCTAAGCATTTCAGGAGCTAAGCATTTCAGGAGCTAAGCATTTCAGGAGCTAAGCATTTCAGGAGCTAAGCATTTCAGGAGCTAAGCATTTCAGGAGCTAAGCATTTCAGGAGCTAAGCATTTCAGGAGCTAAGCATTTCAGGAGCTAAGCATTTCAGGAGCTAAGCATTTCAGGAGCTAAGCATTTCAGGAGCTAAGCATTTCAGGAGCTAAGCATTTCAGGAGCTAAGCATTTCAGGAGCTAAGCATTTCAGGAGCTAAGCATTTCAGGAGCTAAGCATTTCAGGAGCTAAGCATTTCAGGAGCTAAGCATTTCAGGAGCTAAGCATTTCAGGAGCTAAGCATTTCAGGAGCTAAGCATTTCAGGAGCTAGCATTTCAGGAGCTAAGCATTTCAGGAGCTAAGCATTTCAGGAGCTAAGCATTTCAGGAGCTAAGCATTTCAGGAGCTAAGCATTTCAGGAGCTAAGCATTTCAGGAGCTAAGCATTTCAGGAGCTAAGCATTTCAGGAGCTAAGCATTTCAGGAGCTAAGCATTTCAGGAGCTAAGCATTTCAGGAGCTAAGCATTTCAGGAGCTAAGCATTTCAGGAGCTAAGCATTTCAGGAGCTAAGCATTTCAGGAGCTAAGCATTTCAGGAGCTAAGCATTTCAGGAGCTAAGCATTTCAGGAGCTAAGCATTTCAGGAGCTAAGCATTTCAGGAGCTAAGCATTTCAGGAGCTAAGCATTTCAGGAGCTAAGCATTTCAGGAGCTAAGCATTTCAGGAGCTAAGCATTTCAGGAGCTAAGCATTTCAGGAGCTAAGCATTTCAGGAGCTAAGCATTTCAGGAGCTAAGCATTTCAGGAGCTAAGCATTTCAGGAGCTAAGCATTTCAGGAGCTAAGCATTTCAGGAGCTAAGCATTTCAGGAGCTAAGCATTTCAGGAGCTAAGCATTTCAGGAGCTAAGCATTTCAGGAGCTAAGCATTTCAGGAGCTAAGCATTTCAGGAGCTAAGCATTTCAGGAGCTAAGCATTTCAGGAGCTAAGCATTTCAGGAGCTAAGCATTTCAGGAGCTAAGCATTTCAGGAGCTAAGCATTTCAGGAGCTAAGCATTTCAGGAGCTAAGCATTTCAGGAGCTAAGCATTTCAGGAGCTAAGCATTTCAGGAGCTAAGCATTTCAGGAGCTAAGCATTTCAGGAGCTAAGCATTTCAGGAGCTAAGCATTTCAGGAGCTAAGCAACTAAGCAATGCAGGAGCTCTGCCTTGCTGGCTCTGTGTCTCCAACATGGGTGCCAGTCACACAGAGCATTCAAAAGCAGGGGGTTAAAACCCCGCTCGTTGTTTAGCGTCCGTAGCTCAGTACCTCGAACATCACGGCCATTTTGTCTTCAGTTTAACACGCGACCACTATTATCCATAATAGAGGGTTTTTTTAGGTTAGATCGCGTAAATATGAATGTGTCGTTAAACCCGCCACCACCCGACACAGCCAATTCGTAAGGCTGTGGTCACGTAAACAGAACGTGCCAATTCGTTACCAGTTCAGCACTCACCGGTTGGGTGTTAAAGAGTAAACCGACCACAATATTTACAATTCGAGTACCGTGACCTTGGTAATTACAACAACCAGCAGCATCAGGCGACAGCCACAGAGTTGTGGAGAAATCCTCCTGCTTCGTTCTTTAATAGCGGGATAAATCAGGTGCGAAGGCTAGGGGGTGGGGATCGTGGGGTTAATGAATGCATATGAATTACAATGGGTAGCTATTACCGGTTGGCTTATTCATAGGGTAATCAACATACGTTATGCATGCACATCATGTTTCCTGCTCACAGCTAATCACCTCTATTATGGATTGTGTGTTCAGTTTGTTGTCCTTTCCCCGGCACCTCCGATTAGCTACGTGCGGCGGTGATGCACAACCATGGACAGGAATAGAACCGAGATGTCCACGATTGTGGCTGCAGCGTGTGAAACACCACCAACCACCACCACCGCATCCACCTGCGATGAGCATGGTAGTCTACGCGCGGTGCGAAAGGCGCGCAACATACGCACGTGCATCCGTGCATTATGACGTTCCTGAAAAGCACCGAGATTGTACTTGAACTCAGCATGCCAGAGGGGCATCGTGTGGAAATGTTTGAGCTCTTCATACAAATGCGGGTCGGCCGTGTTTGACGTCCACCGCGACCCGCACGCTGAGCAGCGAGAGCCAGGGCTGCCCGCCACCGCTGGGCCAAAGCCCGCTTCGTGTGCGCGCGTGCGTACACGTTGGACCTTCTTTCGCGCCGTACGTAGCCAACCGTGCTCATCGGGTGTCCGACTCGTGCAGTAGTCTGCGTATATCGCCCCACCTTGCCGGTCCCATTTACCTTTGCGTTGCTGGAAAAGTCCGAATGAAACATTTGTACGAACGGCTGAAATATTTTGAAACGCCGCACCTCCGCCGTGCTGGGTTCGAGTACCGTCTCTGTGCCTTTCAGGAATCTCATTATGTACGGATGTTTGTTGTGTGTGCGTGTGCACGTATGTAGAACGTACGTAGCCAACCGTGCTAATTGGAGGTGGTGTGGTGGTGTTTCACACACTGCGCCCACATTCGTGGATGTCCAGGTTCAATTCCTTCCCATGGTGTGCATCATCACCGCATGTAGCCAACCGCGCTAATCGGAGGTGCATGGGGAAATGACAACAAACTAAATGCAAAAAGTTATTTTTTGTAAGTATTTTTTTTTCTTTTTGGTTCTTTCGGTAAAGTCACGTAGAATGGAAATAATAAAATAATAAAACATCATAAAATAATTCTCACGACGTTTCGGCCACAACGCAAGCAGCCGTCCTCAGGTGAAGAACAGGTCTGTCGAGAAGACAGAGTCTGAATGACTCTTTACCGAAAGAACCAAGAAGATGAATCCCTGCAGTCACGAAAGCTTTAAATCGAAATTATTTTTTTTGTCAAGAGCCCGGTTAAAAGGCACGAAGCGCAATAATGGAGCGGAGAGGTGGTGGTACAGAAATTCTGCGGACGACCGAAGTCCAACCTCAGCGCTCCTGGGTTCTGGGGAAGAGGTTGGGGCTCACTGCCCCCATCCGAGCCGGGACTGCGAGCAGCGGGCTGAGCAGGTCGCAACAAGCAGCTCTAAAGCAACGAGTTTGCAATGTAGATTGAATGCACCGTGCGTCTGCGGAGTAATATAACGGAACGCGTAACGTGACTTGGCACACTGTAATTTTGGAAGTCTAAACACAGCCAAGACGATTGCCTAACGTCTGCATAGCTCCGGGAATTAATGTCACGGCGTATAACGCTAATTATTACCATCCATTGCGAGCCTATCCTGAAGGTAACGGCAGGGCGCCCCGACTCACGGCGAGGGGGTAAAGAGGCGGCGCTCGTGTTGAACGTAGCGGTAACTTACGAGGTTAACGCTGGTTAACCTCTCGGGATGCATTGCCTTCAGCTCACCGTGGATACATCACCGCAGCATAGAGATTGGCTCTCACTTGTCAGAGCAATGGTCATCATCGTCGTCATCACGTGTGACTTGATTTCACATCTCACACGAGTCCCAATGTGCCGACGGAATTAAGAAGCAGATTTGAACAGAACCCTTCACAGAAGTAACACTCATTGACTTGGACTCACAATAAGTTGTATGTGAGTCTAACGGGTCTGCGTGCGAGTCTATGTGTCTCTGTAAGTTTATGGGTCTGTGTGAGCCTGTGGTTCTCTGTGTGAGTTTTTTGGTCTCTTTTTTACAGTATGGGTCTCTGTGTGAGTCATAGGTAGCCACACACATGAGCTTAGAATCACAACAAGTTTCCAGGACAACAAATGCATAACACTGGATACACTGCTGTGAACTAACACGTTGAACAACTCAAGTGCAGTGACATCATCGTACGCTAAGTATTGTGCCAGTTTCAAAAGAGGTGAAATTTCAACCTCCTCTTGAATCGGCATATATTCCTAAAACAAAAAAAAAACGATACGATTAGGGAGCAGATTCCAAAGCTGTGGTGTCATTACAGGCAAGGCCCTGTCAGCTGAGACCCTGGGTTCTAATACCGGGTTCTAATTTGGGCTTCAAACACCAGTGATCTGAACAAAAAACTGGTTCTCATCGAGTTGATGGTTTCAGCCAAGTTACCAGTGACTGCAGGGAAAACTTTTTGACGATGTTCGCCTCGTCACTTGCTGTTTGCTTTAGTCCAGCTGTAATGGCCACCACATTGGTTTGATTGCCACGTGGCAGCACCGCTCTTGTTCGAATGGCTCCAATGAAGGCGCTGCACCATCTGGTCTTGGGTGCACGGTAAATTGAAGGGTCTTCAAAGCGGTTCTGCAGTGTCATTTTCCCGGGACCGCCGTCAAGTTTGATGGCAGACCGCGCGACGTGCAGGGAGGCACCCCCGCTCGTGCGCACGCGGAATCACGAAGCGGCCTTTAACCATAATTACGTTTTTTTGTGTTAGATCGCTTAAGTATAGATGCGTCGTTAACCCGCATCAACCCGACACAGCCAACCAGTAAGGTTTGTCACGTAAACAAAACGTGCCAATTAGTTACTACTTCGGCACACCGCTGTGTTGGAGAGTAAATCCACAACGTTTACGATTTGAGTGCCGTGGCGTTTCGCCGGTCATCACAGCGAGCGTCATCGGGCGTATTTTGCCTCTTAGATTTTCTGATGAGGCCCTGGGAGCGGCACTCCAAACGCAGCGGTGACTCCAACGCGCGCACAGCGCCGAACCGCGGCAGGGCGATTAGATTCTATCGAGGATTCGACGAAGGCGCGACGATCACGTGGCCTTGCGAGCAGTCCCGAGCCTGCGTCTGGAGAGGGCTTGCGCATTGCTGCGTCAAACATTCGCCGGAGAAACGGCGGGGACGGCAAAGGATTCGGTGACAACCGCAGCAAAGTCTCTCGAGGCCTGACCAATCGGATGGAGATGCCCTTTCAGTTCTACAAAGTCAAAAATGATTCGCCGCTCCAACGAGCACTGAGCCGTTGATGCTCATATATTCACAACCCTGAACCTGTGGTGGAAATTCCACATTTCTCTGGCGGTGGCCGTATCTATCCATAGGGCAACCATTGTCGACTTTCCTCAGAGAGATACTAATTGTATCTACCCCAGGGGGATGATGGGCTGAATCAACCTCCCCAAACAAGCTTTGAACTCGCAACCTTCCGATTGCGAGCCGCTCACTCGAACGCTAGGCCACGTCGCGGTTGTGATTGCAGATGTTAAGGTTGTTTTGCTTTAATAATAATATATTTACTTTGGATAACCTTTGTGGCTTACACCAATGTCTGGCTAACTCGAGTCTGGCTTTAAACGGTGTTTACTGTACATTGCCTATGAATAAGTTTAGCCCATTTCCAAGTAGTAGATTCATGATTACTTTTCACAGGTGGTCGAAAACATTTGACAGCATTTCTAATGTGCACTGAAACCTCAAAACACCGTAGAAATCTTGAGACAACTTGGAGAAAATCCAGAGAAACAGAAAACCCCACCCCCTCGACAGACCTGGTCTGCCAGTGCCTTCCAGATGCCTCCACAGCTGAAGAAGAATCACCCGTAGGGATAGTGATTGTCTCCTGGTGACAACGGAGCGATGTTGCGATGTGAGCTCTTCGTGGTTTTTTTCTTGTTGGGGATTAAAACCGCTACGATGATGATGATGACGGAACAAGCGCACTGCGCTTCAAGGGGATCGTGTAGAGAAATAACAGTTTCAACATCATCAACCCTGCCATTATCACCATCAACATCACCAGTGTCATCATGCAGCTAGTCCCGTTGTTGGAGCTGACAGTGGTCTCTCAGCAGAGGCCTCCGCCTTCTCGCAAAGCCACCCCCGTCTCGTCAACCTTCGTTCCACGGGATGAGGTCGCTCCTTCTCGGCCGCTGTTCCCGCTGTCTGGAATTCTCGTCCCTCATAAAACTTCGTGCAGAGGAGAGACTTAAGCCCCATTTGTTTTCATTTGCATCGAGCTAATCACCCCCCTCCCTGCGAAGCATCTGGAGATGCGATAGCATTTAGATACCATGGATAGATTAGGCTCTTGCCACAAGAATATGGAATTTACACCACCCCCTCTCGGCCAGCGATAAGGATGAGCATTTCCCCAAGCTCGTTGAAGCAAATGCAGTCTGTTTCTTGTAACTTCCTCAAAGCGGGAATGAAACAAAGAGTCCGTACAATTTTAGGTGTGCTTAATAGTTGTGCACACACACACTGACACGCGCGTGTGTGTGTGTGTACAAAATGTCTATGACACAATACTTTTGGAATTCAAGACTCCAATACAGTGAGGTCTTGTATAACATGCACTTGCATCGGGATTTTTTTCAAGTTATTATAATAAGCAAGCCTCACTGAGGCTCAAGACTCATTTTCAGGAGGGTCTTGCTTGGAATTATTTGGCTAATTAAAAAAAATGGACAGTATGTATTACCCGGGCGTGTGAACACGATTGGAGTGAACCCCCTTGTGAAAACTCATGGGGCTAAACCAGCAGCCTACTTGCTGTACTGCCTGATTCTGTACTGCCGTGTTACAAAAATTCCCGAACGCGACTTATAATTGCCTTTGTATTTTGTTGCCATTCAATTATTGGTTAAGTTCGGTGTATCCATTGTGAATTGCAAACACACACAAACACGTTCTACCCCGTGAATATATTCGCATTTAAACAGCGCAAAGACAAACACATCACAACCTCCTCGCACCGTCATATTTCACTCAAATCGCGGTGCATCCAACCGCCAACGATCTCGCACTTTCGTTCGTACGCCGACAACGATCGTCAATTCCCCTCGCACGCCACGGCTAAATGCAACCACGACTCTCCGTGTCGTCGTCGCCGTCGTCACCGCGACGTCGCTGAGCACCTCCGACGGATCTAGCGTCAGGAGGCCACGCCGACGTCTCCTCGCCGCTGCGCGTCTTGATCGCGTGCCCTCGTCGTGTTTGTGGTGTGCGTGTCTCTCTGTGTGTGCCTGTGCACAGCTCGCGATGAGAGGCCCGCCTGGACCCCAAGGCTTGACTGGAAGACCTGGACCTCTGGTACAAAGTAACCCGTCGAGGGGGAAAAAGAGAAAAAAAAATCTCTCCGCAGACTCCGCCGTCTCCTGTTTTCGCTTTAACGCCTCGCGTCTAATAACCGGGTGGTGGTGGGGGGGGAGGTTTATTTTTATCGTTGTCGTCATTCTGTCTGATTTGCGAATCGGTTACTTTTTTTTCTTCTGAATAATCATCGTCGTCGTGATTGTGATTGCACTTAGAATGAATGTCGTGGAAAGTAGTTTTACACTTAACATGAAGTGGTTGAAGCGGTGAATTGCCTGCTTTTACAGAAGTTAAATTATCCATTCGAATTAGCGTTTGCGTTAAAATTGGACGGGGGGGGGGGTTGGGGGCTGGGGGGGAGGCGCTGTCGTGGGAGCACGCGACTCACAATAGTGAGGTCGGGCGAACAGGTCACCATGCGCTAGGTCATCGTCATCATCGTCCGTCATCACCATCGTCATCATCACCGTCATCATCACCATCGTCATCATCATCAACATCGTCATCATCATCACCATCGTCATCATCTGCACCGTCATCATCATTGTCATCATTACCCTCATCATCACCATCATCGTGATCATCACCACCATCACCACCATCGTCACCATCGTCACCATCATATCATTTATTCGGGAGTCGATATCACTCGACAGGAATTTAACGGCGATTGTCTCATGCGCATTTTAGGCTTGCTCCTGCCATAGCAATGTGGAATTTCCACCACCTCCACCGACGGTGCTGCTAACAAAGATGATCATCACATTCTGGTTCCTAGAGGAGAACAACATTTAACATCCTAATATATATTTAGTTTATTTGAAGCTAAATCTGGCGTGATGTGTCAGCCGTCTTTGGATAAATCCGTGAATGGAATCCCTGAATGGAATTACCAAAGCGTGCCATTGACTGCAGTGTGGACGTGAAAGACCCCGTGATATGATTCGCCGGAAGCAGGCAGCTGTGTTCCCGTGTCATAGCCCAGTTACGAATGTCGCTCCACGATTCTGACTCCTCCAAGTTGTGTAGCCTCAGTGCCGCGAAGCGCGGTTACTTAGCTCGGCCCTTAAGACATCTCAAGTCAGGCTCTCACTTGGTTCTGTAGAGGCACAATAATTTATTGGAGCGTAATATATCTTGGTATGTAAAGTAATCGCGGTTTACTCGATGCTAGTTGAACACGTAGGCTTTCGCGACCAATATCCATAATAGAGGTTTTTGTTGGGTTAGATCGCGTACAGTTTAAATGTGTCGTTAAACCCGCCATCACCCGAGATAGACAATTAGTAAGGTTTGTCACGTAAGCAGAACATGCCAATTCGTTAATAGTACGGCACACCAGTGTCTTGGAGAGAATATTCACAACATTTACAATCTGAGTACGACGATTCGACAGTAATTGCAACCGGCATCATCAGGCAGCAGGCAGATTTGTGACTGCTAATGCGGTTTCATGTTGATCAATATTACTCGGCGTACTAACTTCCTACTTAATGTCCTGCCCGAAGTTTGAAGAATGTATTTGTTAAACATACACGATTCCGAGGTTCAACACTGCAGTGTAGTCTGCAGTCCAACTCTTACACAGCCAAACGTTTAGATTTTCCAAGAAGTCAGTAACATAACTATGCGTGTATGTCGTGGAAAAATCCTGCTGATGTTTAACATTGTCAGCTGTGTGTGGGTACATATATCTACAGACACACACTTACACATTTACATCATAAGTATATAGTCTATTGTTGTGCGGTTTTAATCGGACGGCCGCATATTTCCTATGAAAAAATAATACAGAATATAGTTACGCATATCTGTGGTGGAAAAAAACACATTGCTTAATGTTCTTACATTGGCAGCCGAATGTATACACACACACGCACATTGTTTGGTACTTCGCAGTGGTGAACATGCACTATTGACGAACAATTCCCACCTCAAGATATTTAATAGGAAATGTTTCTGGCAATGCCTCTTCTTCATAGCACGTAAAATAAAATAAATATATATTTCCTGATTTTAAAGCCACAGTGTTCTTGTTGAACATGTGGAGTTGCTTGTACGTTTCATACACTCAGCCGTGGATTCTATAAAAAGTAAATTACATGAATCTGCTGCTAGGGGCAGTAATCTGCACAGTTGGTTAACTCAGCCCATTCCTATACATTTTACATTCGTATCCCAAACTCCTGAGATCGATCAACCAATGTCCTTACCCCACTATCTCTCAACCGTAAGGCAGGCTCCAGTTAGACCACGAATTCCATCACTCGCTAACTTGTCACAGGTTTCAATCCAGCTCGGGCTCGAGCGCTTGCCCGCCTAATTGTAAAGCCATGGGTTCATATCACATGCAGGGAATTCATCGTATAATCTTTATCCTTCCCCTGACGACACACTGGGTGGTCGTTCCACTGTGGGAAATCACTGGCGATCATCCGGAAGATAAGACTGGCCCCTACCATGGGAATGTGGTATTTCCACTCCTGACAGAAGGTTGCTACTGCAGATCAACACCTCCCAATTGATCATTTGAGCAACGATTTGGCTTGAGACGCGCAAACATTGCAAAGACACAGATCCCCCGTATAGTCTCAACAGACTGTTGGGACAAGATTTGCAAGCGAGTAGCACCTATGAAGGCCATCACGGCAAAACGAGGGGGTGGGTGGCCATCACCACGCCCGGCCGCATTTGTCTCCCGAGTGGCGATGTTTAAACATCGCACCAGGTGCTCGTTTGAGGCCGCAAACGTTACACAAACTTCCAGGCATATCCACCGACACTTGCTGAATACTTCGTGCAGAACTTCACTCCTGGCCTGTGCAATGCTGCCCTCTGCTGATGTAAGGGCTCAATGGCTCTGCCAGCGTGTTGGGCCTTAGCCATCGGCAGGATAAAGCACATAACAACCAGCGTTTACAAAACAGACCACAGTCAACCATAACGCAGTATCGCCAAGACCAGCATTCATGTTCAAGTAGGGCTGCGTTTCACGTAATGCTGCCAGGTGAATTTTAACAGAAATACGAAGGAAGGAGGCGTCGTCGGAGCCACGATTCACCACTCCGCTACGCCCCGGGCACAATTACCCGGCTCAACCACGCCAAATGTAAAATTGTAGCCGTTGCTCAACATCGACATCAGAAGGAGAGTAGGAGGATGATGATGAATTAATAGTGAGTTCAGAATAGAATGTGACCAATCAGGCGGCCTAGATTGTACTGGGCGAGGGTCAGGCTACCGAGGCAGACACTGGAGTGGGACGAAGAAGTGGAAACTTACACGCATGATCTCTGTCCCCAATTTTGCAAAATCGAAAGGTGGCAACTATACATGCTTAGAGAAACGCGATTGACCTTTAAATCGTAAACTTCGTGTCACTAGTTTTTTTTTTTAAGTTCTTATAAATAAATTCCAATACAATTGCTCGATTGTGTTTATCAATAGACAAAACTAATTTGATCGACTACTGCCTAACGAAGGCGGGAAACCCCCTACGAGCCCCGCCCAATGTGACGCAGCTGTTAATGCTGATGATGTCACCAAGCCCTGCCCATCAACTACCGTTCAGCCGCACCCGTGGGGAACAGAGGTGAAATATTTTTTTCTCCTCCAACTATTTTCACGATGTCCTATTGGTCGAGTAGTGCAACCGATGATAGGTTGATTAATCGATGGCTTAAATAATCGGATGTTCCAGCTGTAGTTCCGATGTACAGTGGTACCCTGGAGATCGAACTTTATTCCTTCCAGAAGGCCATTCGATCACCGATTTGTTCGAACACCGAATATATTTTCCCCATAAGAATTAATGTAAATTACATTAATTGGTTCCAGACACAAGAAAGCTCTCATTATAAAGCATTTTTACACGAAGTTTAGAGTAATTACATGCATAAAATCATACAAATAAACAAGAAACAAGAAATAAATGGAATAAATGAATAAATATATGGAATAAATGAAATTAATGAACATTGAACTTCACTTTACCTGTAGTAAGGAGAGTTGATGGCTTGAGTGGAAGGTGATGAGGAGGAGGTGGTGGTGTTGTTATTGTTTGGAAGGGGAGTCCCTTTGGAAGGGGTGTCCCCTTTGTCTGGGCAAGCGTCATGCACGCTGGCCATACGCGTCTCAGCCGTACACGTTCTTTCAAGTCGCGATTGCCCCGTTCGACCTCCGAATTTCGTTCGGTTTCCGGGGCAAAATTTTTTTCGGAAATATCGTTCGAACACCGATTTGTTCGAGTTCTGGTGCGTTCGATCTCCGAAGTTCTACTGTATATTATCACATTGAATGTGTCCAGCATTGATTGTCACTGAGATTTCATGTCATTTTTCTTTTCAGGGCTCGCCAGGAATTCCAGGGCGGAAGGGAGAGTCTGGTGATTTAGGCTCACAGGTGAGGCGTTGTGTTCACTCATTCCCATTTTCGTTTATTTATTCATTCGGCCAATCATTGGCTATTACATTTATGAGTCATTGGTTGACCCGGTTAGAAAACTCAATTTTTCGTGTACAAGTCTGTTAATTTATCCCCTTTTCATCTATTACCTTCCAATACGTTTTGAAATTGTGACTGGAATGCAAAATGCGTCATAAAATCATGAAATGTATTTTATATCAGAACAATCCATGGTTCTGTGTCAATGTTTGACTCACAAATTCCACTCCGGGTCAAGGGTCGACTCGACCCACGACCCAATCATCCCTTTCGGGGCAGATACACGACCCGTACCACTTTGCGGAAGACACTGAGACTTGCGTTAAAATGTGAATTTGCATAGCCCACTAAGTTAATAGATGGTAGTGATAATAATAATAATAACAACCATCATCTCAATCGCCAGCCATTGCTGTCCAGTGCTGGATAAAGGCCTCCCTCCGTGTACACCGTTGCAATCCCTCGGGGTCCTCCGATGGCACGTCACGCTCCCGCGCGTGAGCCGGCGTGTTCTCTCCTATGTCTGCCATTTGCACAGACAGAAACAGAATCGGAATCTTCTTCTTGGTTCTTTCGGTAAAGTCACGTAGAATGGAAATAAAAAAATAAAAAAAATGTTCTTATGTTTTATTTCATAAAATAATAAAAATAAAATTTTTATGATGTTTTATTTTTATTATTTTATTATTTCCATTCTACGTGCCTTTGCCGAAAGAACCAAGAAGATGAATCCCTGCAGTCACGAAAGCTTTAAATCGAAATCGGAATCTTGTTCAGCATTGTCCCTCAGCCCTGCCTTGTCCCTCAGCCGGTCCTGAATGGAGTTCAAATAGAACTCACGAACAAACACATCCTGAAAGAGCCAACGCAGAAGGTCCCCTGGGGTTTGACCAGCCACAAAGCTGCTCATGGTCCCACCCTAAACCGCATCCGCTGCACAGACCATGGCAGCAGCAGATGCGGATACCTGATGGTGCACAAATGGAAAATTAAAAACTCTCCAGTAGTAGTGGTGTGGCGACTGTGGTCATCCAGAACGGACCGTACACCACGTGATCACGACGCAATGTCCGATCCACATACGCAGGAGACATCACAGCGGTGATGCACTCCGCTGCTCCTGATGCGGTTATCTGTCTTGACCGAATTAAATTTGAAATTGTATCCGTTGCTTTGCATCTACTACATAGGCGGCATGAAAGAAGGATTATATCGTCTCTTCATGTGTTGCACCTTGATCAAGCCAACTAACTTCCATACGCCTCTGGTTCATGTGATCCATGTGTGTTGGTGCCTCTGATTTGCGTTTGTTCTCTGATCCACGTGCTCCTTTTTTTCTCTCTCAGCGTGACTCCCAGTGTGCATCTCTCCCGTGCTTCCTTTCACTCTTCAGCCTCTGTTCCATTTCTTTGACAGTTCCCGTATTCGTGAATTGAATGCCACAGTTGGTGGTATGCACTAACACATTGGCATGCTGATTTTTTATTATGAAGCTTTTTCCCCCCCCCAAAAATAATTATATCCTGATTTATTTCATCATTCGGTGTGCTCGTACCAGGAACAAATCCACATATTATTTTGAAGCTCATTTTTTATAGAAAGTTTATCGGGTATGTTGTTTCCTGAATCATTATACCACAACTAGTTGGTCTGTGGGCAGCATCTACCGCACTCCAGCTTCGCTGCTGCTGCTGCTCGTGTTTGATTCCACGCATGCATGTGGAACTTCTTTTCCCACTGTCCGTAGCCACGCTTCCATTCTCTTTAACAAACACGGAATTCTCACCTGTAAAGGCCACGCCCATTCCACCTTAGTCCCCGCCTACTATTTAGGCCCCACCCTGTTCTAGTTAGACCCCACCTCCTTCTGTTTAGTCACGTAGGTTTGCACAACAAGGGCTCATTCCGAGCGGCGTGCTTCAGCCGCACCGAACCTCACAAAAATGGTATTCAGGGCCTACCTTTGCTCCTCCCACCCTTAACCAGTATATATAGAGACACGGTTTTCCTGTAATTTCTCTCACTTGATACAACTATCGTGCTGTGACTGTTCCACCTGAAGACGGAGGCTTGTGTTGCTTCCGAAACGTCGTGATTTTTATTTTTATTTTAGTTGTATTAATTCAGATTTTTTTTTTTACCTACGTGACTTTACCGAAAAAACCTAAGAATATGAATCCTTGCAGTTACGAAAGCTTCAAATCTAGAATCCTTCTGTTTAGGCCCCACCCCACACGGGGTCATGCTGGCTTGGGTAGTGGTGGGGGATGTGGAAGTGGGGGGGGTCAGTGGGTTGTGTGTGTGGGGGGGGGAGGGACTTCACACCAACGACCCGAAATCCGCCTTAGCGCAGAAAAATCATAGCGGATTATTTCCAACCATCTGAACCGGGCTATGGCTGAAGAGAACGTCTCCCGCAGAACTCCGTCGGTCAGCAGAGCCCTCGCCGTCATGTCAGGGGAGCGGGGTGGGGGTGGGGTTCGTTCGACACTGAAGGGAGACAGCCACACGCAGCCCATGAGCCCGGATCAGATGTCCGTCATTGGTGCGAGCCGAGGTGGCGTCACTTCAGCGTTTACGTGGCCGAAAAAAAACCCCGTGAATTGTGTGATAATAATTCACTTGAAATGAGTGTGGGTTATCGAGTAATGAACCCTCACTAGCCGTGTAGGTGTAATGACGGTGGTGGTGATGATGATACGACTGCGTGCCGTCTGCTCCACGGTGGACGTTAAAGATCATTGGCAAAAAGTAGACTCAATGTGCGTTGTGGCGTCACGGTTGACATTTGGCATTTTTTTTTTACTTTTTTTTATTTTAGCAGGTAAGGCCCCACTGAACTATATAGCTTTTTTTCAGAAGCAACCTGGCCACAAATGAAAGCCCAATGACATGGCTTATGTTGAGGGATAAACCTTAGGACCCAGAGAAAAATCCACACGACCACGGGGAGAGAGACACACAGAAAAACTCCAAATATGCAGCAGGTGTCAGGGTCGGGATCGAGCCCACGACCTCCTGTAAACCAGGCAACGCCCTCGATAATAATACCACAAATGATTCACTTGGGATTCCACACACATCGCGCAATCATCGCTCCGACTGACAGACTATTGCCCCGGGGTCACTTTCTTCCCATTGGAACTCACCCTGGTGGTACAAATATCTGCTCTGGCCCATGGACCCATAGCCAGGAATCAAACTCAGGTGGATAGGTTCGGACTGCACTGCGTTATCCACTGTGCTCCGTTCCAACCTTGCCACGCGAGGTTGTGAACTTTTCTGTCACATGCCTTGCAAAGTGCGTTTTTTTTTTTGTTAAATGTCAATCAGGCCGGACTGTTAAGTCCTCACAGCGGGAATAACCCGCATGAGTGAAGATAACCAAATCAAACGAAGTTCAGTCTCGTGGAGCGGCGTGACCTCCGTGAATCTCTTTGCGTGGACTTCTTTACAATGGGGGCGGCACTTTTCAAATCGATATTCATTCTCGTCGTTAGAATATCACCGAACTAAAATTCATAATTTATCCACAGTGCAAATTCAAATTTGAATAGTTATGGGGTTTTTCTTTGTATAGGTCAATGGTGACCAAGGCTTCGACTATCAACATTTTGTGCCGCAGTGGTCAGACGTTAATTACCTCGCTTGGTATGAAGGATGTCGTGGGTTCGATCCCGACCCTGACGCCTGCTGTATATTTAGAGTTTGCATGTCTCTCTCGTCATCACCACGGTGACTAGGATATGTTAACTACCTCGCCTGGTATGCAGTAGGTCGTGGGTTCGATCCCGACCCTGACGCCTGAATATTTGGAGTGTGTATGTCTCTATCCCCACGGTCGCGTGGGTTTTTCTCTCCACATTTTGAAACATGTGTTGAGAGTATTTGGCTGCTATAGATGTCCACATGATGAGCCACTTCATTGAGATATCATTTGTGGCAAAGTCGCTTCTGAAAAAAAATCTATACAGCTCAGTGCTCCTTACCCAGAAGATAAAGAATAGTTTATCGTTTTACTTCAACACCCGGTGGCTGAAACTTTCATTAAAACCAAAAATGTCAGCTGTGCTGGTGAATTTGCTCTGACACGGCCATCATTAGCCCCCCCCCCCCCCCCCCGTTTCACCCAGCCAGGCCGTGAAACTGGAATTTCACACAGTCGTTTATTTCTGTGCCCGTACGATCACGCAGAGTGTGAACAAACTACGGTGGTTCATCGCCTCATCTTGTCTCATTCTCGCAGCTTCAACAGTCGTGCGTGAATCTGCACTCTTAATCTCTGCATACAACACGAGGCAATTACAAGCCCGAGCTGATGGTTTCTGCCACAAATGTGGTTGTACCTTACTCAATAAATAAACATGAGACCGCTTCGTTGTAACTAAAAACGATCGTTTCTCTGAGTCGAGCAATTGACACGTGGAACTGCGCAAAATTAATGGGTAATAAAACACCTTTAATGAGAACATTTGGCACATCGGGTGTGGGTTTTTTTTGCACTGTTTATTATTTGCGCTAGTTTTGACCTTCCTCATTAGTAACGACCGAAATCTGCGGCTCGTTTTGCACGAGCAATTACGAACCTCCGTTCAGGAATCACATCTTCTCATGGCAATTAATAACGATGCCATTTACGTGTGCTTTGAGAAAGCCTACGTGACGCTCAATGCTAGTTTACAGGAAGAGTCCTGTGCATTGCGATGAATTGGCCGAGATTAGTGTTTTTCGATTTAAAGTTTTCGTGACTGCAGGGATTCATCTTATTGGTTCTTTCGGTAAAGTCACGTAGAAGGGAAATAATAAATAATAAAAATTAAACGTAATAAAATAATTCTCACGACGTTTCGGCCACAACGCAAGCAGCCGTCCTCAGGTGAAGAACAGGTCTGTCGGAAAGACAGCGTCTGAAATGACGCTGTCTTTCCGACAGACGTGTTCTTCACCCTCTAAGCGTT